CCGCCACACCTCATCCAGCATGCCTTTTTGGTTGAGGGGGTGGGGTGAGGTGGCGCCGTCACTGCAGAGCACTCTCCGATCCCCAGCAACGGCAACCTGCTTCCTCCATCCTCTCTCTCTTGCTCTCTTGCTCTCACCTCACTCCACCACCCGTTAAACGCCGAATTGATTGACTGCCAGACTTAATTGCGACGACGACGACGTTGTCGCGCGCCACGTGCCACCCGCACTTTACGATTTTCATTACGCAATTAACAACCAAAGAACGAATTTTCGTCGAGGAGTCTCCTGGTCGTTGTCGAGCTCGTTTACCTCCACTCTTATAGATGATTACTAATGATTTCATTTGACAAAACGTCCCCCACCCTCACAGACTCTAATTGACAAATAACACGGGGATGGCCTAATTAACTCAGTCACATGTTTCGCAACTGTTAAATAAATCATTAATAAGTGACACCTGCTTCCAAGGATTTCGCAATTGAAGCAAACCTATCAAAATGAAGTACCCAATAAAACACATATCAATATCATCTACAGTATTAACCCTTTGTATTTAAATTATAAAAATACGTGAAAAAAAAAATACAAAATTATTTGTTTGGAAACACCAAGCGAGTATAAATCTACATTCAAGTAATACTTGTCACTTCTGTATACGTTTCTTTTTATGCTGTAACGAATAGAAAAATTGTATTTTGGAAATATATATATATGAATCNTTTTTGTAATCTAAATNGCATATAATTCACTTATATCACGATTTAAGNTTATAATTGTAATTTGATTTAAAATAATATAGTTATAAAATTGTCCATTTTTGTAATCTAAATCACTATAATTCACTTATTATACGATTTAAGTTAAAATTACCCGACTTTACCAAAAAGTACAAGATATTTTTTCCATTCAAAATATTGTTTTAAAAGAAATCCAAAGAAAATTTTTATTTTTTTAAATTTTAACTAAGTTCAGCTAACAAAGGGAAATGCAAATCGACAAAAAATAGTTCATCAATTACTAGCGAGCGAGTATAAATCTACATTCAAGTAATACTTGTCACTTCTGTATACGTGTCTTTTTATGCTGTAACGAATAGAAAAATTGAAGAAATACCGTGAAATACATATATGAAAATTGATCCATTTTTGTAATCTAAATCACTATAATTCACTTATTATACGATTTAAGTTTAAAATTACCCGACTTTACCAAAAAGTACAAGATATTTTTTCCATTCAAAATATTGTTTTAAAAGAAATCCAAAGAAAATTTTTATTTTTTGA